GGGGGGGGGGGGGGGGGGTGACTCGCTATGCACTCCACCGCCGAGTGATGGCCGAACGAGACTGTGTACAAGAAGGCCGGCATAGAGTAGGTAGATGAGACGAAGAAAACATTAATAGTACGGGGAAGAGCGCGACGTGCATGTGTTGTGTTTTGAGCTGATTATCCGCTCACGTTCATTTCTTCTCGGACGCAGGAGCATCAAGCGCTGTTGTGCAAGGTCTTTGTCGTCTGTGTGGCGGCGGCCAGCCTCTGAAATCGATGGCTCTTTTTGTTGTCGGTTGCTTGCTTTCACCGCGAGCGAGATACTCACAGACCATGAAACCCGAGTCATCTGAGGCCGGCCTCTCCTTTTGACTCGATAAAATCGACGCAGACCAAAGCTCCTCCCCGCGAAGCGAAGCGGGCATACCCAAGGCACGTGTGTTCAGGGATGCTGCTACAGCAGTGTCATCAGTCTCCCTCCCGTAACTTGCACGCGGAAGATAAAAATCCAAGACATGATCATCCAGAAGGTGTCAACCGCGACGAAACGGGAGGTCGCCACCAAACCCCATCCGCCCTTTTCCACGCTATTCGCCACCACGTCTGCCACAGTTTGCTTGGGAGCCTTTGGGGCTCCGTGACAACCCCACATTGGACCAAAAGCTTGAGTTCCGTGACGACTCCACCCTTACTTGACCAAACATGATGTCTACTCTATAAACCAACATCTTGAACGTTGTGTTCCTCAGTCGGTGAACCTCTCAGGGTGAGTTATTTCTGGATCACACGGAGGGCGTAACGCCCCCACCGACGTGACCACCAGCTCCATTTTTTCTTCCTCCTCGGCCTTGTCCTCGGATAATGAAGCGGCGGCTTCAAATACTGCACGGCCGGGGGCTAAACCTCCGGTAGCGGCGGCAGCATCGCTGTTGTTCCCTTTGCCGGTGGAGTGCCCCTGAGGCCAGCTGTCAGACGAAACTTTCGAATTAGCAACACCGCCGCAGTTGCTGCCGTCTCCAAAGGAGGAGCTGCAAGGGGCGGCGTTGGCGCCGGCGTCGGCTGCGGGAGCGCGCACCCAGTTGGCCCGGGCGGGGGGGGGAGAGGCGCTTCTTCCTTCGTGTGTACCCGCGTTGCTGACGTTCCTCCCGATCCCGAGCTTGGTGGCATCACCTAGCGTCGTGGTTGTCGTGCATACCCGGCGTTGCTGAAGTAGTGATGGCGACGACTTGGGTGGAGAGGTTCCTTTTGAGGCCGCGTTGGCCGCGGCGGTTGCCGTCAGTATCAGCTTCTCGGAGAACTCTTTGAGCTTCTGGCGCTCCGTGCTGGCCCACAGTGCTTCCGTTAGCTCGTAATCCTCTGACCCGAACACTGCCGCCTGTTTGATTGTGTTTTCGCGAAATGAAATCGAATCAAGGCCGGACAGCAACGGGCGAGCCGCATAGTCTAGGGGACATCCATGACTCTCTACTCGCAAGAGGCGAACGAGCATGGTCGGTCATCGTGAGTTGCTTGGTCGGGAGTATGGTCGTCCCGTGGGAGCGTCCCACCTCAACCTTCCAATATTATTCGTATCGTCAGGACAATTTTTTTCCCTTCGATCGTTGCTTCCCGTGGCGGATGACGAGAATGATCGATGGCAAAAAGAATTGCTTGTCTAACCGGCCGTGGGCCGTGGGGATCACGCTCGGTACTCTTGGAAGAATTTGCAAACGCGAGAAACATCATTCGCAGCTTTTACATTGCCACGTGAGGTGTGAAAAATGATTGAGTCGTTCCGGTATACGAGAAGGTGGCTGGGTTCATGAATGTATTACAAATGTCCTACTCGAACCGCCCCCCTCCCACTCCGGGTGTTCAACAAGCCTATGGCATCGTGTGTCCCCAAGGGGATTGAGGCTTGCAACTATTCCCCTTCTGCACTTCGGAAGACGCAAGAAAAACTTGCCGAGGACACAACACCCCGTTGCCTATTTATAGCCGTTTGACTATAGTCAGAGTGTCTCACACCTGAACGGCCGAAAAAAAGTGCGCCATGTCCCTGCCGTAAAATCCCTCGCTCCGAACCGCGAGCATCGCCATCAGCCCCGCCGCCTTAGCCCTGAAACCGTCGCTCAGGCGAACACCACCACCACCACCACCAGTCCTCGGATTCTCCTTTTCATCGTCCGTTGTATCGGCAGGGAGGTGAGACTCTGGCTGATGCTGCTGCGTGGTGCTGGCGGCGGCGGCGGCGACGGCGGCGGCGGCGGCGGCGGTCGCCACTTTCGCCATCGCCGTAGGCCGACCCCCTTCCTTCCTTGACGCTACGAACTCCTGTCTCTCGCCATTGGCGTCGAGGTCGCGGTCGACGTTATCGATATCCCTCGATCCCGTGTTGCTATTGCTATCGATGGTGCTGCTGGTGCTACTGGTGCTGCTGGTGCTGTTTGTTCTAAAGTGCCATCCTCCGGCGGCACTACTCTCCCGCCCCCCGACCGGCGATATCGCCTCCACGGCTGGTGCCCTCACCGCTCGTGCTGCCGCCGATCCTAACGCCGCCGGTGCACGCAAGAAGTCGGTCGGTGGGTCGTGGTGGAGGTAGCTGCAGAAGTACTGGCGGATCAGTCGGGCTCGCTCGGGGAGTCCCGGGGTCGGCAGGTGGACGACTTCGTCCACGCGGTCGAGTATGGCCTCGTCGAGATCCTGTGTCGGATCGGACGACGAGTCATTACACGTTATTTTGCTGTTTTCTTGGGTTGCGGTGGGCTGTGTCGCGGAGGTTGTTGGTTTTACTGGTATCAGAGCGATGCGCGGGGGGGTAGACTTCTCTTTGTGGCTTCTTGGTGGAGCTTCATGTACATCCCTATGCTAATTCCACCTACCTGTGGACGACTAGTAGTGAGGACCATCAGGAACCCGGCTCGGAGCTCGCCCGTAGACAAAAGAACGGCGTTCAGCGCGCTCCTGGCGTTCTCGCTCATCCCTTTCTTTCTCCGGTCGCCGAGAGCGGCTTCGGCTTCATCCATCACCACCGCGACCCCTTTCCCCCTACTGCTACCGCTACCACCGCCACCGCCGCCGGCCCATCGCATGAGCCCGCTAAGCTCTGACGAGGCGTTTCTACCGAGGGAACCGACGTCTCCCCCGGCGACCACGACGGTGTTTAGACCGCACATACCGACCAAGCGTCGCGCGAGGACCGATTTTCCAGACCCGGGGGCTCCGTGGATGAGCACGTTGGGTAGGGGGGCTCCTCTGCGGTACGACGAGCTGGCGGTGACGGCGTGTGTCGTGTAGAAGCACCAAAGGGCCCGGAGACGGGAGGGGGCAAGTGTGTGGGGGATGTCGCGGCTGTGAGGTAACAGGTATTGGGCGGGGGGGCACTCATTTTTACATGCCTCAGCTTTTAGACAATGGACCACGCGTCTTTAAGAGGACGGGGAATTGTTCCCACAGAACCGATCGCCGACGGCCAGTCGTTCGATTTCTGTCAGGGAGGCCTTTAAAATGTCTTCCCTACCTTGTCTATATATCACTTGTCGGTGGTTTGAGAGAGGACAGAGCTCTGGTGGTGTACATGTCTCCGCTTTCACCCGCAAAACGGGCGCGCTTATATTTTTCGTTGCTCGTTTACCACCTCGCTCTTGCAGCAGCCATTGGCAAGACAAAGTATTCCTGTAATCAGGATGTAGGTGCTATTGATACGGGGTATCTTGGGACGTACCGGATGGAGTTGGCGATACCCCGAATTCGATGTTCCACATCCGGAGGCAGTACGATTCCTTTCAAAGCCTCCGGCGATGAAGGGGCCACCCCGCTGGCAATGTGAGGGGGGGGTGTGTGTACTCAACCGCGCTGCTGCTGTAGATGCTAGATAATCGACCTCGCATCCCTACTAAGGCGGCACAGAGCACAAGGGTCGCGGCTAAACCCTGTGCTTTGCCATCGTGTTAAGCCGCGCGTCGACGGTGGCGTTGGTACAGCTCCATTGATGCAAGCGTTCCAAGCATGCAACAGAACTGAGATTTCCTCCTTGAGAACATTTCGTAGGTATGGAACCGGGCGACAACACCGTACGTAGCCAAACAAAACCTTCGTTTCATGCACACGTTGTTATGAGCACCACAAGCAAGAAGGAGTGACGTTACATCAGCCACGACAACCACATCATGAACAACTGGACACAGCCATTCCACCGAAAGAGGCACTCACTCCCCTGTTGAGGCCTGAGAAACTTGGAGTAGTACGTACCTGCAGTGGCTCGACTTGCCGAGCAACGGAAGCAGCACCGCGCGGCCGCGTCGAGCGATCCAGGCGACGGCTGCTGCCGGTGGTGATCCCGGTAGGTCCGACTCTCTCACGAGACGCGGCGTGGTGGCTTTCCGTTGAATCGCCATCGCTGACGTTTGACATTTCATAATATTTTTCATAAGAAGAAGGGAGTTTGGAGGAAAGAGGCGACAAGGGTTAAAAGGGATATTGTTTCAGAATTTCGGCTGCTTGCCAGCCGGCAGCCGCCTCGAGACTCCGGAGAGGAATGAGCTGACAAGCTCGGAACAATTTCAGGGGAGATTGTAAGGGTAGACCCCCCCCCCTTCTCTCTCTCTCTCTCTCTCTCTCTCTGTCTCTCTCTCGATCCGCGACGTTCACACCGCCATATCTCCACCCAGCTTCCTCGCATCGTGCCGAGCATTGTTTTCTACTATACCCAGCAGCTTCTTAGGAAGAACGAGACAAGTGCTACAATAAACAACGACATTTCTCCGAATCGTTCGAACAACCCAAAACGGGGGATGAAGTCTACCTGACATGCAAACTCTCCTCTAGCCCCGTTGTTGTCGCGTCTTGGCAAGCCGCGGAAACGAACCACCATCAAAACGAAGAGGACAAGAAAGGATGAGTTGGAGCAAAGGGTACCCCTCGTATGCTTCTCGTCACGATAAGGGACCCGGCGACAGCATACGCGAGGGGGGGGCGGAGGTGGGGGGGTACCTGCAAGCGTCACGGAGTTTCCGACCAAGAGTATAGCGAACGCTATTCCTAGGGCCGCCGCCACGATCCTTGCTAGCTTGATTGGGTCGGACGTGGTCGCCAGCACGAGCGATCCTATTAAAGCCGACGTTTCATCGATGACCTGGATTTGATTGTTGTTAAGGTTGGCGGATATATAGGGCGGGGCGGGGTACGTTACTCCTGCTTGCCGGCGTGGTTCCGCAAGAAGAAGCGACCCCTAAAGACGTTAGAAACGAAGTAATGCCTTGGGGCTCACTCTTGTCCCAAATGATATCACGGCCCCGTTATTTTTTGTTTTTCTGTGATTTTATCGTTTCACTTTGAGTTCGATTGGTTGACGGGATGTCGACCAATTGCAATGACTCGAACCGACCAGCCGCCATCTCACCCCCTCCCCTTACACCACGTACCCGACGCCTTCCGCCAACAACGTAAGAAACCGAACTGAGAGAAAGGCATCATGCGGTGCACACTGTGTATCCGACCGAGACGAGAGAAACAAACAGAACCAAACCTACGTACGTAGTCTAGCTAGCCAAGGCGCCGCCGTCCAGTAGTTCGAATATTACATGCTTTTGCTGGTTTACCGAACAGATGGCTTAAGGGAAGAAGGCGTTTTGCATAAATGCTTCTCTATGGCGGTCTCTCACGGCTTGTGTCTGCCTCCTGGCCTCCGCCCCCTTGGCCCTTATCCTAGCCTTGTCCGTTGCTTCTCCCTCCCGCTCGGCTTCCTTTGTCGCTTGAAAAGTGGCAAGACTTTTGGCAAGCCTGCTTCGTTTGACACATGCCCGCGATGGCGAATATGGCTGTTGGCTGTTGTGCGTTTGACACATACATGGGGCGGCGACTGTGGCAGTTGTGCTGAGGCGCTGTGCTCATGGTCCATGGCAAACAAGACCACTTGCAGCCAAACACTTGCCGTGCTACACTGCGAAGGAGGGTGTGACACTGCGTGTGAACTCCGGGAATCATTTAAGTTCACGAACTTTTGCGCTGTTGTGTATCGCCACACATCAAGGACAACTTGGTCTGTGTCAACCAATGAACTGCGAGCCGCACCGTATCAGTTGTACCTACCTTCGATTTGAGGATAGCTTCGCGGTCTGATTGGCGGCCTCCATATCTAGCAGTAGCAGGGCGACGTCGGTTGCCATTCGGAGGGACTCCTGTCATCCGTACACCCAGGCCATTCGAGCGAACGACCCACCACCCGCGAACGTTTGTTGGGCGAGGAGACGGACGAAAAGCACGCCTTGTCGGTTTCAGAAGGCGACATCTCCAAATAACTTCCACGCAAGAGAAAAGAAAACAACAACCCTAGCACCTTGCTATGATAACATCAAGATGTGCTCTTCCAGCAGTTTTCTCTCAGAGTGATATTTAGCCGTTCATAGCTCAGAACAGCCTACCACACACGCCTGTCTCACAATCATATTATCAACCTAAAAATGCCAGTAAAACCGGGGCAAATAACCTCCTCATCTATGGTGCCACAAGTACGCACTGGTATTCCCTGCAATGAAATTCAAGAGCTCGTTTTGATTGTGGAAGGTTAGGTTAACTCTTTGTTTCAGGAAGCTGTTGTCTCCTACTTGTACCATTCTGTGAAGTCGACTGATTCATCGTGCAAGCGAGTGGGCTACAAAGATTGACAACAACACCGAGCTTGGGCGGAGTCAGAAGTAAGCACATCAAGCTCTCAAACGCACTTCCAAAGTAGTCCCACACCAACACTGAAACGTGGTGTCAGGAGGAGAGAAAAGAGCATGACACGCGCCCGAGTCAATGCCCATGGTTTCGACACCGGCGAAAAACTAGGCAGGGCAACAAATGTAGTGCCGGCTACGATACAAGAGAGGGTTGGACAAGGTGAAATAGATAGTTATCATATACTACCTCTGTCCGAGAATATAAGCAAGGTTTGGAAATCCGGGAATATAAGCAAGCTTTCTCGATGAAGGTGTTTCAAGGTGTTTTGGACACCGTTTCCTTCCTATTTTTTTGCGTCAAGCTCGGATATGATAAGCGGCCAAGAAAAAACCAACATAAGAGGGGATGATAAGGTTTCATCCCCTCCCCGGAGAAACATTGATTTCCCTGCCATAGCGCTCAGTAGGGAAAAAGGGGTCCCATTTTTTCTCTCGTTTGCGGCAATGAATAGTGCTTTTTTCCTCGTTTTTTTTCTTTGTATTTTTGGGTACTTGAACAACCTGTACAATCACGTTGCGAAGTATCTTCGATAGTTCTTTGGTGCTGACCGGGACCAAAGTTCCAGAGTGGCAAAAATCAGCAACTTCGAGGGGCCAAAATGAAGGGAAGGCGTTGGAAAAAAAAAAAAAAAAAGCGTTTTTCCGAAAAAAAAAGGTGTTTGAACCCAGGATCGAACTCACGGCCACTGAACAGCTCGCTTTCGCGGTGTATTTTGCCTTACGACCAAACCTTGCTTATATTCTCGGACAGAGGTAGTATATATTTTTCTCTTGAACCGTGGGATGCCGTGTACACCCATATATTTCGATCGGCCGTGACTAACGATTCTAACTCTCGCATATCCGTACTTTCTCTTTTTCCGATTCTCCAACAGAGATTAACATTGTTGTATGACGGAGAATAACACGCACCTCTACAGGGATGAGCTCTGCCAATCCTTTCTGTTCCTCCCGCAGGTTTTGGACCGCCATGGAAGTCTTTTCTTCGGCGAGGGTGATCGCAAGCTCGAGCTCCATTTCCGCGATTGCTAACGTCTTGTTGGTAGCAAAACAGTACACGTGGCAGGTTTCGAGGTGCGGGAGGGAGCTGATTATCGTGCACGCAATCAATGCCACACTTAGGTATATTTTACGTCCAGCATACCACAACAACAAATGGCTACCCCGGGAGCTACACGCATTGTTCCGTAGAGCCTTGGGCCATACCCTGGCGTCAAGTAGGCTGGCTGCCCTGGCAAAAAGGCAGCAACATGTAACACTGGCTCACCTGGTTATGCTTATGCTCGAGCAACCGTCGACGCTCCCGTCCCGCCGCTTCTCCGGACAAGAGCTTGCCCTGTTTTTTCAACCATGTGAACTTCATTCGGTTTCTGCTTGGTTTCTGCCTGTTGTTTCTGCCTGTTGTTTCTGCCTGTTGCCGATTCAAAGCGCCAGTGAGTGTTCTAGACCCTTGCGCGGAAGAAACATCATCTGCTGTTCGTAGTTGGGTTCCCACTTGGACCTTGGTGTCGAGGTTCTCTATCGACCTGAGCGAAGCCCCGAGTTCTCTTGATTTATAGTTTCAACCGAGGTTTAGTGTACCCGACACTGCTGTTTTCGTGGCTTGGGTGCCTTGGCAACGATTCGTTAGACATGAAGATACGTACATTTACCTTGCTCATATCACCGTGTGACGCTGTGTGTCAAATGCTGCACCGGTGCGGAGAAGCTAGCGTGTGGCCTCACGACCTTGCCTTCGCACGTCATATCGTGTGTTCCGCTACTCTGCACCCTGTCTCGAACAATGATGTACCCTGCATGGAACAATGTTGTGCCCTTCGTTGAACAAATAATAATCTTGTACCCTCGGCCCGAATCTATTTCCCGTTATGTTTACAGTACCTTGACAATGTCTCGTTTTAGCTCCGACAAGGTCGCGAGCTCCTTCAGGCTTGCTGCTGGCTGCCACTCCTTTCCCTGTTCTTCCATAAACCTCAAAAGCTTTAGTCTCGCTGCAAAACAAGAATCGGGGGTACGCCGAGTTAGGAACACGACGTTGTCGGTGTGGAACCAATGTAATCCTTTCTTGTCTTTGAGGTTGGCCGTGATGTCATGGCTTTTGCTCCTCCCAGGTCTCGCTTTCTGCCATGAACCCCGGATGGGTGGCTCGGGAAGGAGTCGTCCTACCATTCAAACGGCCAGTGTGTTTTTTATCGTTGGTGTTCTACATGGTTGAGGCAATTGGGGCAAACAGACCTCGGTCTTAGCCAGCACCATGTTGGGCTCGTGTCCGCGGTTGTGTGTTAAGGAGGACCCGATTCGCATGGTATCTGTCGATTGACTTTTACCTGGATCGGTACACCTTCGCATATGGCGTCAGCTGGATACCGGTTCGAATGTCCTTGGGTGCACACTTTTTCTCCTGACTTCGACATTTTCCCATGGACACAAAGTGTGTCAGTCCTGAGAACACCTCTTGGAGTCGATCCTACAAAGAACCTTGTGACACTTCCATCGAATTACCCATCCTGGCCACAAGAGGTTCCCAGTTGAGGGTGAATTCTGTGGGTGGAGAGTGTTAAGTTAAGGAGGACCCGATTCGCAGGGTATCTGTCGATTGACTTTTACCTGAATCGGTACACCTTCGCATGTGTACGTGGAAAGGACATCGCCTTCCTCCTTCGTGAAAGTGCGGCTAGTCTACTCCCAGGTTTCCCCCCCTCCTTCTCGCCGGCATCCGGAGTCATCTGTGATTCATAAGTAGTCCTCTAGACAACCCCCTGCTGGTATGTGAAACGCGTTTTGAAGGGCAGACAGTCGAAGGACTATCGGCATTCACACGTTCGTCGAAACCTCTCACCGTTCTCAGTTTCGGCCTTTAGGACGTTCAGCTTCGTTTCTAGTGCGTCATACCTCCGTCTCAATTCCTGCAACGCCGAAGGTCAGCGGGCAGGGAGGGGGCGGTATCGACGATGACGTAGGCACGAGCACAGAGGAATCACGTAGTATTCTCAGGCCTTCTTTGGACGAGGCTGAAAAGGTGCGAACACCCAATGTCAGCAACAAAAGCGGCAATACCAACCACAACAGTCAACAATGTCCACAACAATGACAGCAACATCAACAACAACAACAACGACGACGTCGTCGACGACGACGACGATGACGACGATGACGACGATGACAACCACGACGCTTCGAAGCCATGCCTGAGTAACCGCAACCGTGTGTGCGAAGAGGTAGGTCCAGTCGATGTTCGGCACATTGTCCACCCGCAATCTAGATCCGTCGGGTTGTTGCACCGGTAAGGTGAACGTCGAGAACGCCTCCGGCAGGAGTCTGGCCATCTCCGTTGGAAGTACACCGAGCTGCCGCCGACCTTTACTCCGGTCGTACTTGAAGGTGTAGTAGCTCAAGCGGGCCTTTGGACACGTGCAGCACGTGGGTCATCAAACCGACGTGGCGGGGAGAGAGCTGTTGACCACATAGATATTACGAAGGCTTCAGAAGGTGAGGTATGTTGATCTTTCCGTAGATGATGCAAATTCGTGAGATAGATCACATCGAAGCAATGAATCTCTATCCGCTAAACAACAAAAAGTCCATGAATGCCCCTGACCCAAGGAGTAAAAGTAAATGGATGAATGCTATTATATTCAGGTTCATGGGGGGCCACTTCGGTCGACATGTGATCCTCATGCTGTGTGCACTCCCAAACATTTCGTCTTCGGGAGACACGTGTGCTAAGACCCAACAGTACGCTTGACGACATGTCAATACCTCTTCACTCTCCGCGCATCTAATTCAATTTTTCCCTGTAGTGCAGACCGTATAATGACCGCTATCGTACGGCCTCCCATCTACGTGCTGTGCCGGACTGTATGTGTGGGGGATGTTTTGTTCGTCACGACCTGAGCCCTTGAACTTGCGTGTTACAAATTACGGTCAGCGATTGCAGGGGAGAGCGAACTGTTGAGCCGTATGGTTACAATACTGACGTGTCCAATAACGGACACATGGAAGATACACGGACCTCACGCAGTATGTCCCAGCTCTGAACCGGGTCAGCTTGGGCGATGATTTGGTACCCTTCCCAGGGGTCGTGGTCCGCTTGACCCGCAAACGGCACCTCGCGCCTCATGTGTGCCGCCCCAGATGTGTCAGTGGACGACCCGGAGTGATATTCTAGAACGACGGGCGTCATCATGCTTTTGCTATCGATGATGTTTGTACCAGGTAAGGTCTCGCGCTGACCGTTGGCGTCGTTGGTTTCCCGGGGACGGTCGTCTTCAGCGGTGGCAAGTGGAGGAAGTTTCGCCGGCTCTTCCTCCTCTCCTCGGCCACCCAGACCACCAGCACTGGACGACTCTCTTGGTGTACCTCTACTATCACTTTCGTGAATGTAGAGCCCATCCGAGCCGCCGTCTACTAGAGAAACAGGGAGGCGCGTGGTGAATGGTCCGTCGTCGCCTCTCCACCTCTCCTCCCAGTTGCACATCCTGGTCGCCGCATGGTCCTTCGGTTCGATGCTTATTTCTTGTTGGGCTTCCAAGTCTGCTAACCCAGATCCATCATCTCCGTTCCGAACCCCTTCGCTTCCAGCAGCGAGTGGCGCTCGGGTGTCATTGCCATCGCGAGGCGCCTCCGGGGATGTACTGGCCGACAGATTGCCATACTTGCTGGTCGGCTCCGATCGGCGTTCGACAGCCACGGTTGTGTCGGCAGCTTGAGCGTGGCAGGCTGGGCAGAGTGCAGCAGCAGCAACAACAACTGTAATTTTCCGTAGGAAGTCGCTTCTTCGAGCCATAGAAACGAGGTGTGACGACGCTTAGCGCCACTTTGCCTATGGAGATTGCACGTGCGGCACCTGGACATGGTGAATATGTGCAATTGGATATGTGACACAATTGCGGCGCAATTGGGAGTCAACCGTAACAAAAAAATGTCGAGAACCAAAACCGTCGCCTGTTGGGAGAGACGCCAACGATCTTACCGCTCCCGTCCTCTCTCCTGGCTGGCATACTCTCCGCCTATCGCATACCAAAATAGCGAAGCAGAGCACGGCCGTATGCTGTAAACCTACGGAATTCTTTCTTACATCGTTTCCTACACTGGTCGCGCACGAGTCGGGGGATGGCTGCTCTAACGACTTTAGCGTGGCTAATATCCAGCAGCATGTGTGTTGCCTCCGCTCTAACGGACACGACCGCAACCAGCGGCATCTCGATAGGTTCCCCCGCATCAGCTCATCAGCAAGCGGCATTGACCGAGAGACCAGCAGTGTCCTCGGAAAGTGACAATAGCAACGATAGCTTCGAAGACGGTGATGACAGTTGCCTCGGTGCCCATGGTAGAAATGATGCCTGGGCCTGTGATGAGGAGGTTGACCTTGGTGAGCTCGCCGACCGCGTTGCCGACTCTTTGCTCGGTATTGATGCGGAAGAGAGGAGAGTTCTGGGCTCGAAAAACTCGATACCATCACTATCACTGACAAGCCGGACTAGAGTGGAGGCAGACGCGAGAAACGTTTGCGGGGAAGAGTATGTCAAGATGTGCAGCAAGGGAGCGAGTTGTTGCAACATCAGCTCTTGCCTCCAGATCGCATGCGGGGAGTTCACACGCGGGGGTGGCTTGACGAAGGTATTGATTCATTATCAGCACCTCATTGTATGTGCCCCAGGGTCCTCTGTCTGTCAAGCCGCCGGCTGCTCTACCTGACAGGGTGATCGAGCGGCAAGAAGCTACAAACAAAATTCTTGACGGAGTGGTCGAACGGCTTAAGTCTAGACTACAACCAAAATTCATAGCTCAAACGTTCACACTTGTCAAACACCTTCACCATGCAATCCTTTCCAAAACCACGCGTGACACTCATTCACAAAAACCACAGAGAGGAGGGCAATCCTCTAACTGCTGCTCATGCCGTTGCTGTCGTTTTTCCTCTTCAGTCAACCGTGGGGGCTGCCGCCGGGGAATGGCAACAATCCCGCTTGAAGCGGCACGAGGCTTTGATAGTCTCCATCGACAAGGATCCGTCCATGCCTCCGAAGGATCGGTTGGAGAGTCTGCAGCTCCAGGTCCCTGAGCTGTTTGCGCACGTCAGCCTCAAGGGTTTCAAACGTTTGATTTCCCAGGTAGGAATAAGGGTCGCATGGAATATTAGGGTAAGCGTGTGGCCCCAACCTGTGTAGATTTGTTGGGCTTCAACAGGGACGTTGTGCGGGATCGAGGTTGGGTATGAGGTCCAAGTGAGACTACAGCCTCAATCAAGGTCGAGCAAATATTTCCACCTGGAGAACGATGTCTTGTTGGCTGTAACTCGGACGAAACTTGAGCCGCTCTCTGAGATAACGCGTGGCCCTGTTTGTTGTACAACGGAAGACACGCACAGATTTTACAACCCAATAATGTTGCTTACGGCATGAGTCTCGAAAAATGAACGTCTCAAACGGCTCTCCTCACCGAGCCGGTTCCAAACTCCATCTGTTATTAAAAGTATGTATGACGTAGTCTTGGTCACTCCCTGTACGCCGCATAGAGTCTAAGATATCCTCGTTCCAACGCGAATTTCGCTGTTTATGTACAGAGCAGGTCACGCATGGCGAAGCCAAACGAGTCAAACATGCCGGCGCAACCGGCAACGCTTTGCATCACCGACAGCCGAACCACGCTCAAGAGCCTGGGGGAAGTTCGGGAGGTGTTAACACCCGACAGACCCCACACAAGGAAGAGGAAACAGACATGCGGCCTGACAATCTTGAAGAGGACGGGACAAGAGTCAGACCGGGAGGCAGCAAAATTGTCATTGGCGGTAGGACACTTGTAATAGGCATGGACAGTCCTCCACCTTCGGACAACTCACAGCTCAACCGCGACGCACGGAAACGGCTGCGAGTCGAGGCACACAAGAAAGACTCGATCTCAAGGGGGACGACGCCATCTTCAGGGTTATTTTTGACGTCAGACGAAGCACACGGTGGAGGAGAGGGGGAGGGAGGAGGAGGACAAGGCCCCACAAAGGAGGGGGTTGCTGTGGTGTCGGGCGACGGGGATGGAGTCAACACGGTCGCCGCATCTGCAGAAGGGCGACATCAACAACAACACGGGTTCAACGATGCCAGCATGGTGGAATTGCGGTCGTCACCGGAGACAGACGCAGTCCAGGTCCAACGTGCTGCTGTATCGCAAGGCGGTTTTGTGGACGAGCAGGACGGATCAATGCTACCGTCATCTTCGAGACAGGACAAGTTTTCAAACGAGGGGGGAGGTCTCTCAGCGTGGGGTGCTGGAAAGCCTGTGACGGGGCTTGCCGACGTCGACATTGCCTCCACGATGAATGGGTTGCTGGAGAGAGAGGTACGAACTGTTTCAGGGTGGTGAAGGGTGGTTTTGTAAACGGAATATCGATGCTTCAGTGGGTGTAGGGGACCGTTCAAGGCAACGTATTTGCTTTGAAAGATGATCGCGGTGAAAAGTATTCCGTAGACACAGGACAAAGGTGGACAACCTGGTGGACGGTTGTCATGGTAAAGAGGTTTAGGTAGGAGTGAATGCTGTGCGCAACTCATGTACGCTTCACAGCTACAGCGGGACGGCCGGAAGAGAGCAAGCAGCTTGTGCCTGTATTGTCGGAGAGTTGGGACGTTAGCGGTCACAAGTGCAGGTGGAACCGGCACAGTCACGCTATCCTTGCTCTGCAGCGACGGCTTCGTCCAATATCAATAGAGACGCCGGTGATATGGCTGTGGCCTACAGCTGGGGGCGACAGCACTCCACTCAAATAGCTATCTTGACCTCCAAAATCTCCTCGGCTGCGCAACGTGGTCCAGATATCGGAGGCGATGCGAGAGGAGAGCGATCGCTTGGGCCGAGAAAGGGCAGCGGTAATCCGGGCCGCCATGGATCTCCTCTGGAAGGGGTATTCCGAGCACGCCTGGGGTTACGACGAGGTACGAGCAAGAAATGGGGGGAATAAAAAGGCGGGCAGGGATGTGGGCTCGGTGGTCGATCCCTCGTGCATCGATAGCTCGTTGGCAGAATTGATTATATGGTTTCCAGGGACATAGCACTTAGGAGACATGTCTCCAAGGATGCTGCATTTTCGTTGTCCACTGTCATTTATAAATGTCCACAATGCTGGAGAGACCACCCCCGCTACGGGCTGGCACTACGAAGAGGGGGTTATAGGGCGTTTAGGGCCTCATTACCAGCAGGAGTGCCAAATCCTCCGTCCATCTTCACCGATGCAACTCAGAGCCACCCCTCGTAGTCGTTACTACTTTTTCCTTGCTGGATTTGATTTGTTCTTAGCTTGGCGTGCCGCCCCCACAACACTATTCTTCCACGACATACACAGGTGAAACCTTTGAGCAAGAAGGGAAACGACAATTGGGGGGGCATGGGGGTGACCCTGGTCGATTCCCTGGATACTCTTTGGCTCATGGGACTCACCGAGGAGTTCTACAATGGGAGGTGGGCGATTTTTCAGTGGATTCCGTCTGAGGTCTTGGAGTGCCCCCCCCCCCCCCCCCCCCCCCCCCCCCCCCCCCCCCCCCCCC